ATTATCGGTTAGTAAGAAACAATCGAATGTAACTTCTCTCATTTTCTGCTTGATCTACAATATTCCGGAGTGGTATTTGTATATACATATAGTAGTCGTAGAAATGATGGGGAAGATACAGGTACAGATACAGAAAAAGCGTTCAAAGTTTCCTTTCAGTTTCAGATCAAGATCGCTATTCAAATTGGAATTTCAAAATCCTTAACAAAATCTATCCAAATCTAATTATAAGTTTAAAAACATTTCAATACATCAAACCATCTACTTCAGTAGGTCTATTCCCCATTTGCTCCTTTCCAGCAACAAACAAAAGATTCTCTTTAACACCTGATAAGTAAAACCAAATATATTCAACTTTTTAAGTAGCACGTCTAAAACATACATTCATCCAAACACCAAGTGTTGATGTCAACACTTTACTCCCTTTGCTATCAACATAACAATATAACACTCACCCGTTGAACTTAGAAAAATATCGCCCGGTCTGGTGCGGGCATAACGCATGGATAAACCCAAAATGGCATTTTGTAAAGTTAATGTAATTAAACTAATATATTTTAAATGATTGGCATTCACTGCAAATAGAAAGAAAATACACTATTTAATCCATTTTACTAAACAATAATTAAATTTTCTAAAAAGTTAAACGCTTCACTTACTGTGAATATTCATTTTGTCTACAAAAAAAAACCTTCTGCAGCCACACACACACACACTTTTCTTTAGCTTAAAGTTTGTTTTAGATAAATTTTCGTTTATGTTATTTTAATTATTTATAAAATAAACATTTTACAAATTATTTTAAATATTTTCGTTTATAAACTAAATAAAATTAAAGTTTTTTTTTAATAAAATAAAAGGTTGAAAAAGCAATTTAATTGTTATACTTCCACTTTATTCAACCACTTTAGTCTTTTTGACGTGCTACTCCAACAACTCTTTTTTTTATTAACATCCACGTAAACAAAAAAACAAAAATACACAGATATTTGAAATTGGTGGCAAAAGAAGAAAATACAAAAACAGAGTATTTAACAGGGATGGCAAATAAAATTTGACATATTGTACAAAATTTGTAATTTTTAAAATTGGATGGTAGAAAATTAATATTTTTTGGCGAATTTATATCAATATAAAGCAATTTATATCAATATGAATAATTTTTTTATAAATATATGCAGTGAATTAACTAAGTTTTTTGCCTACCATTTTTTAAGAGAATTTTGTTTTTTGTTCATAAATAAAATTCAAAAAAAAAAAAAAAAAAAAAAAAAAAAAAAAAAAAAAACAGGTAAAAAGTAAATTTATGTTTTCCAATTGAAAATAGAGATTGTGTAGAATGGGAAAACCAAGAAAAAGATATTAAAATAAAAATGTTGGTGCATTTGTTGTTGCATTTTATTATTTTTCACCAGAATTTGCACGTCAATAAAGTATTTTGCATATTGAAAATTCCAGTTAACTTCGTTGGGTTTTTCAATTTATTTTTTAATTGCTTTTGGAATTTATTGTTTTATTGTTAAAAGGACACGTGTTAAGTATTTTCAATTGTAATTTTCAAAAATCATATCCTCATTGTGTGAAACTGTGTAGTTATTTGCGTCAAAAATGTTTAAAGGGAAATAATGAGGCAATTCCAATATAAAAAATTAGTTTAGATTTTTAGAACAAGTGTAAATCAATGAAATTCAATTATGAGATGTTTAATCAATCATTAAAAAATATAAAATATAGAAATTCATGAAATAACACAAAGAATTATTAAAAAAACGCACTGAGTTGTCTTTCAAAATCTTTAACTGCCAAAGGAGAGCGACTTGTATCCAAGCAAAAACCATTGAAGTCCTCATTTTTCTTCTCCAAAGTCCATATACGAACTTAAAAGAACACTATGTTTAAATTTAGACCTCTAAACAGACCTTAGGTTGCTTGGAAACAATATAAAGTGAACTATCGTGTGGTACGGGAAAAATACTTAATTTAGATATTTACAAATAGAGGCGGTTCTCATCACCTAAGATCCACAAAAGCAATATTTTTCAGCTAATACATACATTTATATATAGTTAGAACCCAAATCAAGAATAACTATCCAAATCCAACTACGCCTACTGTATTTTATTCATAAAATAATGCATTCAAAATATGAGGTAGAATATCAAGATTCTAGCATGTAATAGTTCTATAGTGGTATACGGTGATATCCCCATACTTAGAGTGGCTAGGATAGTACTTAGTGTTAGCTTTATTGAATAAGAATCAATATTATACAATTCTAAATGAAATTCACACAGTACTCCCCAAATAGATGGGGTTTCCGTAATGTAGTTTTTGTTTATCAATACAAAATGACCAAAAACCCAGATTATTTTTGTTATAATCTATAGATTTATACCCCACTAACATTTTTTTCTAGGTCCAAATCCATTGATTTCCTTATATATCATGTATCCAATTCAAAATTACTTATTCGTTCCACTACTAAAATATCTAAAAAATGTTATTCGAATACATAGGAGTAATAAAAATATTAAATTTTATAAAATAATGCAGCAATATTAAAAAATGAACAAAAAACCTAAAAAAAAGCAAAATACTTTATTGACCTTAAAAATTAACAATACGTTCACATTTTATCAAAAATCTTGTTAATTAATATCACGATTTTACTTTTTATGGTAGAAAATTAAAATATAAGATATTCTTTAAAAAGTACAACAAACAAATTGCTTTATTTTGCTAAAAATAATTGTTCAGATGAAGTTTTTAAAATTATAAAATTTTACATAGGCAAATTACTTAATTGATTCACTGTATGTATGTACCACTGTACTTTTAAAGATTGAAATGCAACGAAATAAAATATAATTGTACAAATTTTACCAACCCTGGTATTTAATAAAATAGAAAAAGAGTACAATATTTGACGTTTATCGATAAGGTTTATTTTGTTGTTGTTCTAAGAAAAAATATAAACAATGCAAAAACAACACAGACACTGTATACAACAAAGAGAAAGAAAAACATTGCGCCATTTGCTAAACAGTCTATTTAGCGATTTTTATAAAGTAAATTTATAAATAATTGATTAGTTAAATTATATATCAATAAAAATCGATTTTTACTATAAAATATTTAATTTATTTTAATTATTTAGTTTTTTCTCTTTTAACTTTTGTTTTAATTTTACGTTTAATATATTTTATTCTAAAATTAGTTTTACTGTTCTTTAACTTTTAAATTGTTGACATTACTTTTTGATAGTATTTTTGAAGTAGCTCAATTTAATTTGTTACTTTTTGAGATAAATATTAAATTTCTGTTTCGTTTAAAATTAATAAAAAGAACTTTATGTTTTTAACGCATATTTGTGTCTAGTACTTTATATTAGTTGTTATTGTTTGAAAAAAAAAACACAACTTCCGTTTTATTTGTTTGTTTTTTACGTTTTTGAGATAAAGTTTTGTAGTTTGATAAAAATTTGATAATTTAAAATTCTTCACTTGCAAATACTTTAGTATTTTTTAATATACATTCATATTTCAAAGTAGCTGAAGCAATAACAGTGGTATGAAAGTTTTAAAAACAATAATATTGTCAATATTTTGATTAAAGTTTAAATTTTAGACTGTAATGGGAATGATAGCATAGACGGAGAATAGCTAATACAGGTCAACATATTTTTAAACCCAGAGACCAAGGAATACTTTTCTAGAGGATTGAGCATTGCTAAATCCACAAAATCAACTTAAAATCGTTTTTTTTTTAATTTTTTAGAACACGATATCTAAAAAACCTGATGTGCTAGATTCGTATTTAGTAATGCTAAATCCCTCAGGAATTTACAGGGTTTCGACTTTTTTCATATTTTGTTAGCCTGTGCAATCTTTATTAACCTTACCTCATCATACATCTTACATCTGATATTCAGATTTTTGTTTTTAAACAAATTTCGAAAAAAAAGTATTTTTTTAAGAAAATTTTCAAAAGATTTATTTTTTTGAAAATAAAAAATAAAAATTTGAAACTTCATTAAAATTTCTTTTTAAAATTCAATAACAATTCGAATTAAGGATTTTTTCCTATTTCTATAATTTTAAATTTATAAAAAATTTAGATAATTTCGACAATTTTTATTAAACAATTCGAAAAATTTCGTTATCTCAAAAAAATGTTTGATAAATTAAAATTAAAAACAAGTAAGAAAGTATAGTCGGGCGTGGCCGACCATATGATACCCTACACCAGTTATGAATATTAAATATGATTTATTTTTCATAATATCGCATTTATCTTCAATATTCCCTTGTTCCGATACATTTAAGCAATTTATGGATGAAAAACCAATTTTCTGAAAGAGGCTTTATATGGGGGCTAGGGGCAAATATGGACCAAGCCCGATAAAATTTTGTGAATATATTTATATTTACATAATATTTAATTGTGCTGAATTTCATCGCGATATTTGTGTTTATAAGTTAATTTGGGACATTCAAGTAATTTTCTGAAGGGGACTTTGTATGGGAGCTAGGGTCAAATGGGGCCCGATCTTTATGAAATTTGGCAGGGTTATCAAGACTTCTATAAAACTTAGTTGTGCCGTATTTTATCGATATATCTGTATATTTAACATAATTATGAGCTCAGAAGCAATTTTCTATGGGGGCTAGGTGAAATAATGGACCGATTTTAACCATTTTCGTCCTTGGGTCAAATAAATTTCATCCAATTATCTCGAAAATTGCGACCTGTAGCTTGCGCACAAGGTTTACATGGACAGCCAGCCAGCCAGACGGACGGACGGACGGACATAGCTTAATCGACTCAGAAAACGATTCTAAGCCGATTGGTATACTTTAAGGTGGGTCTAGGACGAATATTTTTATATGTTACAAACATCACCACAAATCCAATATACCCTCCCCACTAAAGTGGTGTAGGGTATAACAAAGTTTTAACTAAAAAATATATACATTTTTTTAATCAAATACTTTTTCATTAAATTTACATTCCTTTCATAACAAGAAATGTTCAATTTTTTATTGGAAAATAAATATAAAATGTGTGTTTTTTTTAGATTTAATTAAAACCCAGTTAAAATTATACTTTAATTTAGCTGTTAACTTATAAGTCTTTTATATGCGACTCGTTTTTCTTTTAGCTCCTTCAGAGTTAATTTAATCGACTTTCTTGCTCTTTGACTTCTTGGCAGCAGCTTGCTTAACACTCTTCTTGGCACCAGCAGCCTTAGAGTCGCTCTTATTCCAATAGTACAACATTTGACTTACAATCACACCATTAGCGAATGAAGAAGCGCAGAAAGTAATGATCATCATCTTGTCACCGGTCTCCTGGATAGAGGTGAAAATGCGTGCCAAAGAACCAGCGAAAAGTAAAAATACCGTGGCTGCCGACAACTGGCCGGTAGAACCGTTTTTATAATTAGTCCAGGCTTGTGACAATTTTCCCACCAATAAAATCGGGATATTACAACTTTGTACGGTGACTAGTACCTTAAAGGGAGTAATGCCGGAACATAATACATACACAAAGCTGGTATAGAAAAGAATGAAAGCCAAAGATTTAGCTTTAGAGCCACTAAAGAACATGACGAGAGCAGCAATGGCGGCAGTTTGGGCAGCCAAAAATGTATTATCACCCCAGGAACTGAAAGGGAAACCGTTGACATAACTGTATGCCATGTGGAAAGTAATGGCGGTCAAATCCAACAACACCGATATGAGATTAATGCCTTCGCCGGATTTATTCTTAAGGATTTTCAAAACTTGAGGTACTTTAACCAACAAAGAGCCGGCAATAATAGCCAAACCCAAACTTTTACTCAGTAAAGCCTTAAAGCAAGGAACTGCAAAACAAGAAAAAAAGGTTAGTCCAAAGTTATACGAGAAGTTACAAGATTCTTTTTACTTACCATCAAAATAATTGTGTTCTAGAAAATAGTTATCAAAACATTCTTCACTCATTAAAAACAAAGCTCCTTTCTTAACAACCTCCATTTTGGTAGAATATTTATTTAATTTTTAGAATATTTTAAGTTATTACTCCTCAGCAGCCGGTTTGACACGTTTCCCCACAGAAGTCTAATGTACTTTTGAACTTCTTGCTTTTTCTACAAAAAAAAAAAATCAATCACTTTGTGCTAGTTTTCTTTTTGACCATTTAATGAGTAAACAATGTACTTTTTAGTTATCTTTATTTGTTACGATCTAATTTATTTAATTCTTACTTGTGAATTTAACAATTTATGCTCCCACTACTACTAAATCGTACACGTAATTGTAATCGCACAAATTTCTTTGATTTTGTTTCTAATCAATTAAATGAATGCAAGAGCAAGAACAACAACAAATTTTGGAAGAAAAAAAATGCCGGATTTGACAGCTGTTGATAAAGAGAATAAATAGAATAGATAAAGAGAAAACAGAGTGAAAAGAATAAAATAAAGTAAAAAAGAGAGAATAAAACCAGAGTTGTTTTCTGCATAGTTTATGGAGATGCCATACTGTGTTTATTTGTTGCAAACCGTTGAAATTAAAATCATGTAATGAACTTTGGTTTTATTAAACTAATTGCATCTATGGTTATCTTTTCCAAAAGACTACTAACTAGGTAACTAACTAACTACTAACTACTAACTAACTAACTAACTACTACTAACTAACTACTAACTAACTAACTAACTAACTAACTAAACTAACTAACTAACTAACTAACTACTAACTAACTAACTAACTAACTAACTAACTAACTAACTACTAACTAACTAACTAACTAACTAACTAACTAACTACTAACTAACTAACTAACTAACTAACTAACTAACTAACTAACTAACTAACTAACTAACTAACTAACTAACTAACTAACTAACTAACTAACTAACTAACTAACTACTAACTAACTAACTAACTAACTAACTAACTAACTAACTAACTAACTAACTAACTAACTAACTACTAACTAACTAACTAACTAACTAACTAACTAACTAACTACTAACTAACTAACTAACTAACTAACTAACTAACTACTAACTAACTAACTAACTAACTAACTAACTAACTAACTAACTAACTAACTAACTAACTAACTAACTAACTAACTAACTAACTAACTAACTAACTAACTAACTAACTAACTAACTAACTAACTAACTAACTAACTACTAACTAACTAACTAACTAACTAACTAACTAACTAACTAACTAACTAACTAACTAACTAACTAACTAACTAACTAACTAACTAACTAACTAACTAACTAACTAACTAACTAACTAACTAACTAACTAACTAACTAACTAACTAACTACTAACTAACTAACTAACTAACTAACTAACTAACTAACTAACTAACTAACTAACTAACTAACTAACTAACTAACTAACTAACTAACTAACTAACTAACTAACTAACTAACTAACTAACTAACTAACTAACTAACTACTAACTAACTAACTAACTAACTAACTAACTAACTAACTAACTAACTAACTACTAACTAACTAACTAACTAACTAACTAACTAACTAACTAACTAACTACTAACTAACTAACTAACTAACTAACTAACTAACTAACTAACTAACTAACTAACTAACTAACTAACTAACTAACTAACTAACTAACTAACTAACTAACTAACTAACTAACTAACTAACTAACTAACTAACTAACTAACTAACTAACTAACTAACTAACTAACTAACTAACTAACTAACTACCTAACTACTAACTAACTAACTAACTAACTAACTAACTAACTAACTAACTAACTAACTACTAACTAACTAACTAACTAACTAACTACTAACTAACTAACTAACTAACTAACTAACTACTAACTAACTAACTAACTAACTAACTAACTAACTAACTAACTACTACTAACTAACTACTAACTAACTAACTAACTACTAACTAACTAACTAACTAACTAACTAACTAACTAACTAACTAACTAACTAACTAACTAACTAACTAACTAACTAACTACTAACTAACTAACTAACTAACTAACTAACTAACTAACTAACTACTAACTAACTAACTAACTAACTACTAACTAACTAACTAACTACTAACTAACTAACTAAACTACTAAACTAACTAAAATCCATGTTATTTGGGGTTTTCAATTATATTTTGCCTATTTATGCATAACAATGCCAACTAAGACCTAATCAGAGGTAGAGATAAAAAGAAGATTAAAAATCTATACAAATTATTGGAAAAAGTTTTCTATGTTCATATTAAATTTTGTTTAATATATTTAATTTATTTTATTTTTATAAAGTAAAAACATTGATTTATAAATTTATCACTCCCTCTTAGCCCCAGTACTCACTATACAATTGTAATAGAAAAACTACATAAATAATATACAATAATATTATGGTTGCATGGGAAACTAAAAGTGAAGGCATAGAAAAGTCCATATCATCTTTTATTATTATACGGGTATTATTATCATTTTGATAGGATTGCAATTTTGTTTTGTTATTATTGTGTAGCAAAAAAAAAAAGTATATAAATAATAAAAAGTACAATATTTTGTATGGAATAGTGTTTAGAAAAATTGTGTTATTTAAAGAAAAACTATGGACAATTTAGATCTTTATTACAGATTAGATCCTTTGGCAGCAGCGTGTACATATAATTTCTAAAAATTGTTATTGTTATTAAGACTTTACTAAAGGATTTTATAAAACTTGAACCACGATACCATTTAACTTTTATTACAACACCCTGTTTAAAGGACGTTTAGCAAATAACTTTGAAATAGAAGAAAAATATTTCTATAGAAAATAATAATCATATTGCTGTTGCAACAGCAATAATATCTGCAACAAATGGCTACAGTATCTATGACCATAATAGCTATATATTTCAATCAGTCATTCTCATTCTACAATCATATTTATAAGAATAACAATTGATTTTTATACTTTAGTTTATAAAAAGTAATTTATTTAAAGCTACGACCGGCAAAATTGATTTTAAAACTTTACCAAAAAAAAAAAAAAAAAAAAATCGCAAATTTTTTGCATGAATAGATGAGATATATGCAAATTTTCTAAAATCAAGTTCTTACCATATATTCAGATACAATTATTCAAAAAGTACCTGTTGAAGAACGAAATAGTACTAAAAATATTTTTCTAAAGATTTTCATTCAGGAGTCTTACCCCCGTATTCACATTTTCCATACAAAATTCCTATAATAAACCATCAACAACTTTATTAAGCGTTTATAAATATGGGGGTTAATGTTTAATTTTATGTTACTAGGTTCAATATTATCGAAAATTTAAAAAGTACCTTTTGAAAAACTATAAAGTACCAGAAAGTGCCCTTGGGTTTAGAGTTACAAATAAGATTTTATCTGCATATTTAATTTTTTTAATTTATTACATTTTCCTTGATTATTTTCCAACACACAATTATCCATCTCTGATATTGGCAATAAGATAACAATAACAATACACAGCTTCATACGTAACGTGTTTGTTTTTATAAAGATACAAACTAAGTACAAAAACAACATTTAACACAAAATTCTGCAGTTAATTTATTGAACACTACGCTTCGCAGACCCAGACCAAAAGAGTTATAGTTCGGAGAGCTAAGAATCTCACTCGATACTCACCGCCATGCTCTTTCACCCCCGTGAAGTCGAGAACATAATCTGTAAATAAAAACCATCATGGTCCGATTGGCATCTCTATGTTATTACTAAAAAACTCGGTGTAGTAGGTCTGGAATATCTAACCCACCTTCTGGAACTCTTTATTCATCAATTGGTGATTCCTGATGCCTGGAAGAACGTCGGTTAGATAATTCCAATTCTAAAATTAGACAAACCCGTTACTCACATTCAGGGAAGCATATAGCTTTAGAACAACCTTAACACAGATAACCTCACGGATAGCCAATAGCCTAACTCAGCAACGACCGTATCAGCGCATCATTGTCGCTGCTCTGGATGTATTTAAGGCCTCCGATACGGTCGATCACTCAATGCTGATCAACGGCATTACAAAGTCAACACTCCCCAATGATGTCAAACTCTGGATAGCTAATAAGCTCTGTGGCAGACAAGCGTTTGTTGAGTTTAGAGGTCAAAAATTAAAATATCGCAAGATAAAAATGGGCGTGCCTCTTCAATATATATTTTGCCAAGTTTTCTGAACCCCCACAGGAACGCGAACTCAGGTTATCTGCTTCAAAATCTTCGGTATCACTTTTCATCTCTTGGACCAAAGAGGTAAGGATGATGATTAACATCTCCGTCTATCCCCACGATTCAAAACTCGAAAATATTAGAGTTGTCTTTGACAGCCCCCTTTACTTCATAGGGCACGGAAATTACATTAAATAAAGGGTTCGAAATAAAATCTTTTAAGCTCTAGCTGGCACCTCATGGGGTATGGATAAGAAGAAGATTGCAATGACATATAAAAGTAATCGCTTTCTTCTCACTTATGCCGCCACAGTATAGACCTCCTAACACTGTGAAGCAGGATCCCCCGGACAGACTCTCGACGCTTTCTCTTAGCACAATTAAGAGACAGTTGATGCAGTTACCTTAACTGCTACTGAACTGAACGAATTGTTGTTGACACTGTTGTAAACCGTTACCCTGCATGTCATCAAATTCCTGACGACACTGTGCATTTATTTAATTGCCCCACTAGGTCTACAAATTTGATATTATTGGACCAGGAAGATGTTGCGTTTGGATTCTGAATAGAGTTTATGTTGCCATTGTTCTATTAAAGCATTTACCACAACAAACTGGGGGATATTCCCTCTTATTGGAATTTGAATACACATTTTTTCAACAACCAGATAGAATCCCTTGGGCTTCAGTCTAGTTATAGCCCTTTCTCTTTTTCCATTCTTTCTAATTTCTTAATTATTCTCTCAACTTGATTATTTACTCTTTATAAAGGGAAACACAATGGAACTCGTTGAAGTGAAAATTTATTATACCCTACACCACTTTAGTGGGGAGGGTATATTGGATTTGTGCTGTTGTTTGTAACGCACAATAATATTGGTCCTATACCCACCTTAAAGTATACCAATCGGCTTAGAATCATTTTCTGAGTCGATTTAGCTATGTCCGTCCATGTAAACCTTGTAATCAAACTACAGGTCGCAATTTTGAAGATAATCCAATGAAATTTGGCACATGATCTTCTATTGTCCCAGGGACGAAGCCTACTGAAAATGGTTAATATCGGTCCATTTTCTCATCTAGCCCCCATACAACTGAACCCCCGAATAGGGCTTATAAACCTTTTAATCAAACTACAGGTCGCAATTTTGAAGATAATTCAATGAAATTTGGCAGATGATCTTCTATGGTACCGGAGACGA